ACTAGAACTCACTCTCTCCTGGTGACTGGCCCAAAATCACCCAGCTAACTTTCATTCTACAAGCTGCAATGACCAGGTAGGGCACGGAAGGATGGGAGGCTCCGCTCAGGACCTACCACCCCACGGAAACAGGGTGGGGGGGTCAGGGGTCTTCCCCAGGCCTCTTCCAACCAGAAGGCGTCTCTTTTCCAAGGGCTGGGTCCTGCCCCACAGATGGAGGAGGCCGAGATACAGAAGCAAGCAGAGCATTGCAACGACCGGAAGATGGCTTCCAAGCGGGTGCAGGAACTGAGCGTCGATCTCTTCTTCGCGGTTTTTGTCAAGGTGGGGGGGTGTTCGAGGCCATTTGGGATCCTGGAGGGGAGGGGCAGGCACAGGGTGGGGGTGGGTGGGCTCTTAAAATCAGCCGGGTGGTGTTGTGTTTGTAGAGCGTCTCCCCGCCCCCCCAAAATAAAAAAGAGGTTTTGCCAGAACTTGAGATTGTGTTTTATGCTTTCTAAGGAAGCCTAGGTCACAACCCCTGGCAATATAACTCGAGGACTCACCATAAAAGCGAGGTGCCTCTGGCTGCGATCTAAAGCCTTTGGAGGTCTGTTCCTTCTCCTTTCCTTGACTCTTGGGCTGTGATCCAAGCCAAGCCCGCCGATTATTTGTCTTCTTCCCAAGCTTCGCCCAAGGGTTTTGGCACCTTTAGGAAGCTTTGATGGGAGCCAGGTTCGAATCTCTGGGCGAAAGGAAGGGGCTGCTCTGCTTTGCTCATCCCTCTCTCTTGCTTTGCCCCCGTCCCCCCGCCCCATATTGTGTCTTGCAGGAGTGTGGACCGCTGGAGTCGGAGGCCATGGTGATGGGCGTCCTGAGCGAGGCCTTTGACGTCCTGGTGCTACGATTCGGAGTCCAGAAGCGCATTTATTGCAACGTGAGTCTGTGCAATTCCGGGGATGGCAGGACGGATCTGAGAATTACCCAGCCAAACCCGTTTACAATTTTTTAAGTCTTTCAATGCTGGAAAGTCCTTGACTTACAACAGTTTATTTATTTATTTAATTTATATTTAATTTATTTAATTTATATATTAATTTTATTTAATTTATATATTAATTTAGATTTAATTTATTTAATTTATATATTAATTTAGATTTAATTTATATATTAATTTAGA